TCATTGATTTACCTCTAAAGTATCAAAGTTATACCAAGTTTGTCGTATTCCACCTATGGTGGATTAATATAATCAATTAATATAAAATCCTAACCTAAAATAACAGTATACTAATATCAGATGAGTAAAAAAAACAAATTTAACCATTTTTAAATTAGCCTGTCATCTTCCTAGAGGTTCTAATCTATACACAAACATTAATATATAATATACTAGCTGACCCGACAGACATTGTCCTGCATGATATTTCAATCGATTAGGATATTAAATAAAGTATGAAATGAAAGCCAAATAATATAATAATTTCATTATTCTTTATTATTATTAAACTAGCTGATCCCGTGCACTTCGTCGCCCGTTAAATGGATCAACTCAATACTACCTACTCAAACTTTGTTCAATTCATTAACGTGTATGGTGTTCAAAATTTATCTTATCTTTCCCGTTGCCCTGAATAAAAATTCTGAATCGCGGCAGTACATTATCAGGTAGGCAATCTACCTGCGGTAGATCGCGGACCCCGTGCTGTTTGTACGGAAGTGTATGATTTAACTCTAAAGTATCAAAGTTATACCAAGTTTATTTTGATGTAATACTGTGGATTAATATAATAAATTTGGTTGCTCGTAAAAAATCGCAACTCTTAAAAAAATTATGATTGTTGAACTCCTTTTGGGTGTAATTTTCTGCGGTAAGTGCAACTCTGCCACCCTGGTAAGCATTGTTCAATAATTCGATTTGATGCAAGCTTGTACCTGATCTGCCCGAATAACCAATGGCAACCAATAAATAAATGCTAATTTCTAATGTAGACTGTAACCAATGGCAACTATAAATAAATAAAAATAAAATTTCCAATTTCTATCGTGAATCTCAATGTCCCTGTTTCAGCACCTATTTAAAATGCGAATTTTGGCAAATCCTTTCTTAGCGCACGTCTATATTATAATAGCTATCTGTATGCCAAATTTCAGCCAGATCCGTCCAATGGTTTGAGCTGTGCGTTGATAGCAGTCAATCAGCTTACTGTTTTTTATATACAGATATGGTTGCCATGGTAATATGGACCCACACACACACACACACACACACTGACATACATTCATTTTTATATATATAGATTGATATGAAATCTTGGTAACCTTAGTAACCATGGCAACCTTGGTAACCATGGTAACATGGACACACAGACACACAGACATACATTCATTTTTATATATATAGATAATGATTTCACGGCAACCAATATTTAATATTATAATAGCTTTAAAACCCATATGGTAACCATTTATAAACAAAAATATCCACCATAAATCTCAACATTCCCGTTCGAGCACCTCCACGGACTGGGCCTATCGGGTACGATTGTGAATCTAAAACATCCTAGAGCCCACTAAAGCACACACAAAAAATTTCATCAAAATCGATCCAGCCGTTTAGGAGGAGTTCGCTTACAAACACACGTACAGTAGAATTATATATATAAAGATTGACAAAAAATAATAATACAAATCAACAAAAATGCCCTATTAACCAATAGCAACCAATATAAAATACACTGTTGAGCCACTGCTGTATTTTTTACATATAAATTTCCTACTTTTCCGGTGGATTTTCCTAACATTTTCTTTCGTAAAAACCTTTTACTGGCAATTACATACATCTTAAAAAAAATTTGAGCCAAATCAGACCATCCGTTCTCGATTGATGAGGCAATGACAATTTTTCACGCTCCATTTTTATATATATAGAGAATGTAAGAAACAATTAAACTTTGATATTTATTCATCTTTTAAACCTTCTCTGGACATCCACGAATAATTCAATACCAAAGTTAGCCAAATCGGTCATGCCGTTCTCGAGTTTTAGGGAAACTAACGAACAGCAATTCATTTACATACATTTATTTATATATATTAATAATTATTAATAATTATTATTAATCATAATATTATTTTATACAATATTACTAGATGTTATTATTACCTACCTAGTCAATTTATAGTGAATAGGTTTGTGGTATGCAAATAGCATAGAATGAATATAAATATTTTGAAAATTGCCTTGAGTACCTATGTTCCAAGCTGACTGGTACTCGATGTCTCGATCGAGTGTCAATAAACGAATTATAAGTCTGAATTCCATATTAGAGTAAACTAATGACATCATTTTAAATCCTCAGAGATTTGAATGAAAATTATTTCTTGGGATCAGAAAAAAATTATTGTGACGTGCAATAAAGATGTTTTATTAAGGTATACAAAGCTATATTGTAAAGGGAGGTATTCCAATTATTACATTACAATACAAGTATTCGTGTTAACATGAATAATATGTTGAAATGTACATAATATGTAATGTCTTTGGAAATAAATTGGCCGTATAATATATTTTCAATTTTGAACAATATAATATTATTTTGTTGTCATGGAGATTTTCGTTTGGATGTTTATGGGTACGACCGATTACACATTTTGAATCAGTTTATATTTCGCGACGAAACATCTCTCTCGAATATTATAGTAATTTTCACATAAATAATATATACAATGATCAACTTATGATTTTATTTATATATTGTCTTATTGTCTAATAATTTTTCAAACCTTTATACGTTTTATACGCATAAAAATCAAAAAAAAACCATCAACTGCGCTGTTACCACAAATTATGGAAAACGCTTTTGAAAACGCCGACACCGTCGTGGAGGAGGTGATGGAACACCTGATAGCGGAAGTGGTTTCGGACTCAAGTAATATAGAGACGACCGTCCACTTGGTTCTAAGGGACATAATGGAAATGGAATTTGGACACCAAAAAAGAACACTGGAAACCGACACCGTTTCAGAGGAATGCCGAGACAGACGGATGGTCGCCATCGTGGATCAGTTGGTGGATGCAATGGTGCACCTAGTGTCCGAAAAGTTGTCGGCCGCGCCGCACGTACAGCCCGGAGACGGAAACGCTGTACTGCGGTGCGAGGAGGAAGTGGAAGAAAAGGAGGAGGAGGAGAAGACGGCCACCGGTGGAGACTTTGAGGTCGTCATGGACGAAGAAGCTCCGACCGAGGACGAGACGGAGATCGACGAACCACCGGCAACACAAGCGGCAGTCTCTTCACGCGGGCGGGTCAGGCGATTGGCGGCCGCCGCGTGGAGAGGAGTGAAACGGGCCGGGAGAGCAGTGATTTGCCTGGGTTGCTGAAAACGTTGTCGACGCCTCGGTCGAGGGCAGCAGTCAAGGCGGAGTGATGTGGGGATCGAGGTATGTGAGGTACGTGAAAGTGCACTTCCGGGGTGATCGGCAGAAGGTCACCGACACACGTTCTCCGGCCACCGGCGGCAGGGACACGGGATCGCGGACGTCCGGAGACCCTCTGTAAGCGTGGCGGGCCCCGGCTGCTTCGGTCCGAGAGCGACGACGACGACGACACGACGAGCTGGCTAGCTGTACCGGTGGTACCTGCACTTGCGGTACGACTGCTGCAGCGTTGCACCGCGAAGACGACTCGCGACGGCGTCGACGGAAACCGCAGAGCGCAAGTCGGCCGGCGAGTGACGGACGACTTTAATGATTATTATCGTACGGTGGCTAGGGACCGTTATGATAATAATATTTTAGTCTTCGTCGCTCGTTCCGACGAGCCTCTTCGGTGACCGTCTTCGGCCTTCGCCACAGTCGTCTTCGGCACCTGCAGCACAACACCTATGGCGCACGTCATCGCTCACTAGTCAACCGTCGCCGACCGTCATCGTCGCTCTCGCAGCCGTCGTGGTCGGGTTCCGTCCGCTTCCGGAGTCGTCTTCGCTTCCTCTTAGGAAACGCGCCCGCGACCCTTGTCCCCCCGCAGGATCGGCCGCGAGAACGTTGTGGAGGTGACCATCTTCTGCACCACCCACTCGCCATCACGTACCCCCCCCCCACTTCGCCTCGTCTTGACTGATGTCTTTTTTTTTACAATTACAATTGATTGTAATTTATTCTGCCACACTTTTGAGCACCTTTTATATTTTTTTACATTTTAATTTTTGTTGATATCATTATTCGACATGTTTTTTGCCACTTTGAGCACCTTTTAATTATTTGTGTTAATATCACTGTTTACTGAAATTTATTCTGCCACTTTGAGCACATTTTCATTTTTTTTAATATTATTATTGTTCCTGTTTTTTTGCCACGATGAGCACCATTTTTATTGTTAATATTATTGTTCCTGTTTTTTTGCCACGTTGAGCACCTTTTTTTGTTGTTAATATTATTGCTCCTGTTTTTTTGCCACGTTGCGAGCATTTTTCCTATTTTTCTTTATATTGCTTATTAATTATTTTTGGTATAAATGTTTCAAAATTTTTAAGCACTCGTTAATTATATATCATTTATAATATTATTGAATTATCATTTATCTCACACCTCTAATGTTTTTTGTTTATTTTTTTTTCAAAATTATAAACCACGGTGTTTAAAAATGATATTATTTTTATACTTGATATTATTTATTACTGTATTCAAATTATTGTTATAATATTTATATAATAAAATTGTTATATTATCTATAAATTATCCAGTAATAAAATTATATTTTTATACAGTAAAATGTTGTTTTTATATTTTTTGTATTAAACGGTAGGTACTATTTTATTTATTACAACAGAAAAACGATTGATGAACATGATCGTGGTAATGTGGGACCTATGAAGAATATTAACCAATAACTTTTTGGATACCAAACATCAAAAAAATATTATATTGAACGTTTTGTCATCGTCAAAGTATAAGTGCACCATATATGTACATTACACACATCATTGTAAAATCAATAAATTCATCGTCCGGCTAAGAGTCTAAAATAATAATAATAAAAACAATTGTTTTCGATGTTGTTGAAAAAACACCATAGTACATCACATTTTGCAGTTTACATAAAATTAGGTACTGCGCTGACCCGTCCATCGATCCACAAGTGGTCTGACGATCGAATCCGCACACGCTGTCACGACGCAATGGTGCACCTTGTCTCCGAAACGTTGTCCGCAGCGCCAAACGTACAGCCCGGAGACGGAAACGTTGTACTGCGGTGCGAGGAGGAAGAGGAGGAGAAGGAGGAGGAGGATACGATGGCCACCAGTGGAGACTTTGAGGTCGTCGTAAACGAAGAAGTGCCGACCGAGGATTGGGCGAAGATCGACGAACCGGCCACACAAGCTGCAGTGTCTTCACGCGGGCGGGTCAGGCGATTGGCGGCCACCGCGTGGAGAGGAGTGAAACGGGCCGGACGAGCAGTGATTTGCCTGGGTTGCTGAAAAGCGTCCTCGGTCGAGGGCAGCAGTCAAGGCGAAGCGATGTGGGGTCGAGGATTAAGGTACGTGAAAGTGCACTTTTGGGGGTGATCGGAGGTAAGTCACCGACACACGCTCTTCGGCCGCCGGCGGCAGGGCCACGGGATCGTGGACGTTCGGAGACCCTCGTGGAGGCGCGGCGGGCCCCGACTGCTTCGGTCCGAGAGCGACGATGACGACAAGACGACGGATGTGGCTAGCTGTACCGGTGATACCACTTATGGTACGACTGCTGCAGCGAAGACGACTCGCGACGGCGGCGTCGACGGAAATCTCAGAGCACACGTCGGGCGAGTGACGGACGACTTTAATTATTGTTATTATGCGGTGACTAGGGACCAAATAATAATAATATTATCGTCTTCGTCACTCGCTCCGACGAGCTTCTTTGATGACCGTCTTCGCCGTCGCCACAGTCGTCTTCGGCACCTGCAGCACAATATCTATGGCGGACGTCATCGCGCAGTATAGCCCAATCGTCGTCAACCGTCATCGTTGCTATCGCAGCCCTCGTGGTCGGGTTCCTTCGCTCTTCCAAGGTCGTCTTCGTGCCCCGCGACCCTTGTCCCCCCGCAGGATCGGTCGCAAGAACGCTGTGGAGGTGACCATCTCCTGCATCACCCACTCGCCATCACGTACCCCCCCACCTCGCCTCGTCTTGACTGATGTCTTTTCTTTTTTTTTTTACAATTACAATTTATTGTAATTTATTCTGCCAGATTTGAGCACCTTTTAATTTTTGTTAATATCAATGTTTATTGTAATTTAATCTGCCACGTTGAGCACCTTTTATATTTTTTGTTAATACTATTGTTTGCTGTCATTTAATCTGCCACATTGAGCACCTTTTAATTTTTGTTTATATTATTATTCATGTTTTTTTGCCACTTTGAGCACCCATTTTTTTTTTTTTTTAATATTATTATTTCTGTTTTTTTGCCATATTCCGAGCAATTTTCCTATTTTCCTTTTTATTACTTATTAATTTTTTTTTTGGCATAAATGTTTCAAAATTTTAAAGCACTCGTTAATTATATATCAAATATATCGTTTATAATATTATTGAATTATCATTTATTTCACACCTCTAATGTTTTTTGTTTATTTTTTTTCAAAACTATAAACCACGGTGTTTAAAAATGATATTATTTTTATACTTGATATTATTTATTACTGTGTTCAAATTATTACTATAATCTATATAATAAAATTGTTATACTATCTGTAAATTATCCAGTAATAAAATTATTATTTTTTTTATACAGTAAAATGTTGTTTTTATATTTTTTGTATTAAACAGTAGGTACGATTTTATTTAAAAAATCTTCGCGGTGATCCTAGGGGAAGATCGAATACCAATTCCAAAAGACAGTTGTGTCCGTCGATGTTTTTAATTTGGTTATCACATAGTATAATATACGAAATATTACCTAGTTGGCTCCGCCTCATCTATACGTATATTTTATTTCGTGTTCGTCTATGCAGGTGTAATCGTAGCGATTTTCACCTACATGCGCGTCCAAGTAATGATAATATTCCCTCGCCCCCGCCACCGACCCGTTCTTGCAGTGGTCTACGGTTTAAAAAATCGTTTTCCAAATCGATTACCGTGGCCGGGGACCTGCAGGTTGACCATCATCCATCAAAGGCGGCTTGGGTTCAGGTGAGATATGTTGTTGCTATTATTACAAATACGAGATTAGATTATAATATGCGCTCGAGGTAAGAATATGATAATAATATAAAACGCATCCCGAACACTATTACACACACGCATACACGAACGCGTGTTTCGAATTATGATTAATTATTGTCTTGGGGAAAAAAAAAGAAGGGTTTTTTTCCACACAGACGCTCGCAGAGAGAAGGACGCGACGCAAACGCTTCATTAATAATGATGATCGGGAAACGGATGTATAATAATATAATTATATTATATATATAGATGCATATATGTGTATAGGTACAACGGAGTATCTGTACGTCGTGGCGGCGGTTTCATTAATGCTCGTCGCTAAAACTGTATATAATTATAATTATTATAATCGGGCCGTGGCGCGAAGAGAGGCGTTCGAAATAAAAAACCACACCAGTCGCGTATAAAAAAAAAATCGAAAACAAGTCTCTTGGCCACTCGCGACGGACCGATGACGTCGTCGCCGGTAAGTCTAAATCTATTTGAAACGACCGAAATATGGCCGTACACCGGCCCGTATTCCAGTATGTAGATCGAGAACCGGAGATACTTATAATATTATTATTACGCTATTAGGTGGGCAAGTCCGGCGTTAGGGGCGGGCCACCGAGGAGCCAGCTGTACAAGGGAGAGGGGACGATATTAATGCCAAGTGATTTTAATCGAGAGAGAGGTGGCCCGAAGACACGATTTCACCCAGGATTCCTATATTAATAATTGTAGCGCCATCGCGGGGGTGTATTCGGAATTAACAGACCCCTCCATGTTGATTTTGTCTTTGCAGTCCGGCAGTTTGTCTTTGCAGTAAACGTCGCAATCGGGGTTGAAAAACAAATCGTTAGGCAAATTTATTATTTTTGCGATTGTAATAACAGTGGTATTATAAACGCAAATACTACGTCTGCATAAAAAAAAACCACCGACCCCTGGGCAGAAATGCTTCATGCCGGAACCATCGACCCTTCGGGCCCAAAATACGCCACTGCACGCAGGGCCGTCCCGAAGGGGAGTTTTAGGGGGTGTCCCACCCCCCTGAGAGTATAATATGTATATGTCAGTTGGCACATTGATACCTACATTAAGTATTTGAGTTGGGCAGTTGGCACTCGGCAAATTATAATTTTTTTTTACAGTTTTTTAATAATTTTGTATATACTATTAAGTCCAAATATATCATAATAAATAATAATATTTTGTAATTTATAATAATATGAAGGTATTATAAGTTAATTTTCCGATTGCCAACTGTCCAACACAATTAATATCATTATAATATTTTAGACTTTACCTATCAATGTATCATATATAATATTATAACAGTATTCAAATTTGCCTATACATATTCGAATAATCACAGAATACATATATGAAATTTCGTAATATATTATATTCTGTCGTATAATCATTGAATTATTTTTTTAATAAAGCTGTAATGATAACTGATAAGGAATTGTGCGCTGAAGACTGTAATTTCTATTTATAGAAGTAATGTAAACATTTATGTTGACTCGTCTCACGTAGAAAGAGATTAGAAAAAGATATTGTTGACCTATTGGATATAAATAAAATATCACATCAATGGTCAATTTTAAAAAACCGACGTATATAAATTTAGTGTTAAGTTTCTTATAAGTATAATAATATGTATTATAATATATTTTTGTTGATATAATAAAAGAACATAGGAAGAACATAATAAAATATTTAATATTGTGTAACATTTGTCTACTGACTACTATGCATGTAGTCTGCAGGTAGGAGGTAATTGTCGAGCGAAGCGATAACATTTTTTTTTTGAGTTGGCAAATTATGAATCAAACCACCCCCCCCATGTTTTGTCTTTTGGGACGGCCCTGACTGCACGGACATACGTATAATATTATATTATTTTTGACGACGGTTATCGTTCTCTCGGATGATTTGAGACTTTGAACCCCTCGGATTCAGTCCTCGAATACGAGTCTCGTGCTAATGTATAATAATAAATTATATTATAATAAAGTACGCCACTCTTACTGGCGTTCCCGTTATAATATTATACTATCTTTCTCTTACGACGACGACGTATCTCCACCGCACGCTCAATATTATATTAATACTCATATTAATATCATGACATACTGTATGTATTATTATGGATCTTTTATAAACTATTATAAATCCATCTGGACGCGCCTTACCGTTTTAATTTTTCAATCAGTCGGATCGTGTACCATCGTATTATACGGATTACAGGCGTACCTATGTATTACATGAACACGATACCCACAACTATGGACCCTCGTCGGATAATACTATGCCTCCCGACGAACCGAACGCTAGGAATTAAATCAATAATTATAGACGTATAATATAATATTTTATAATAATAATACGTACAGGTATATGGCACGTACCTGTATATATATAGCTATATATATTTATAATATACCTATAACAAAACGGTACGGGACCAAGCTGGTATAATATGTATTTGTATTAATATTATAATTTAAATTATAGCGAGCTCGACGAATGCTTTCTGAGAATATTGAGAACATTAACTTCAAAAATTTTAAAGAATTTAAATTCACTCTATACCTATAGATTTTGGCAATATTTTAACGAATATCGATATTTCTGTAAGTTATTTTGGTTTTTATTGGTTTATTAATTATTTTATGTTTGTTATATTCTTTCAGACAACCATAATGCGGCAAGCACAATAATTGTTTACCTAATTTTATAAATTGAATTCAACTCTCCCAGTACCAGCTATGCTTGGGAGTGTCGCGTAATATCGCTAGTGTGTTTTATTTTTAATATGTACATCTGACACCTGCATATGCAAATAAATATTCGTCTATTAATATCGGTCTCGTGAATAATAATAATAAAACGGTCGTCTAAACGCGGCGGCGGCGGCGTGGCGCATAATATGGCATAATATTTTAATTTTTTTTTTCTAGTATATATTATTATACTGGCGCGTATACTATCGAAATATTTCGAAATTCCCTCGCGCCGGTCATGCGTATACTCACTCGTACGTATTCACCGACCATATGATAATAGTATACCGAGATGTCGCCGTCGTTCAACAAAACGGCTACGTCGTCGCATGACATAATAATTAAAATTCAAATAGATACGTTATGGAATTAATAAAGAAGAGGAAAAATGAAGAAATTTAGTGAAAAAAAAAACCATCCTCTTAACCACCCATATACCTAATATTATTATAATAATATTATATTATCAATATATAATAAACCCGACGGCGCATAAA